CCATCAATAACATTTCTCTGCCCGTTGTCTCTGCACGCTTCTACTCTGACCTGCACAAGTGTTTCTAATGTAAAACACAATTAAACGATTTGGCGGTTTCACGGTCTCGCAGTAGGCTACGCTGCGGATTTAAATGTGACGCATGGATTGAAATTATTTTAGATTGTTACTTTTCATGCAGTTAAGGTCTCTAAAGTTATTTGACATTTTATTTTTTGTTTAATTTTGAGGGTTGGTCAGGATAGTTTTTAATAATTCGTTTAATAATTCATAATATTTTGACAGGCCAAAAGGCTGCAGTCCACATTTCAAAGTGCAATGTTGCCGTTGTCTGTACGGGACATTAAAGAACCATTAATGAAGAAAAAAAGTGTGTTGGTACAGGTGCATTGGAGTGTATTAGGAATATACTAAAGTAATAACCCTCTGATCTTTCACCATTTCAAACTGACTAGCTATATGTTGTTTACATATCTTTACTTTTGTAACTACTTTCTGTATGTATGTAAAGCTGCTTTGCAACCATGCAAAATTGTGAAAAAACACTAAATGTGAAGTGTGGTTAAATTATTAAAAAAGGTAAAGGTAATAATTATAAAACAAAGTACTGCATAATTATGAATTATTATTATTATTTGCAACTCAAAACATTTATTTTTATCTATACTATTTTTATACTCAACAAGTAGAACTCAAATAGTGTATTGCATTGTACATTTAATCATAACAGGTCAACAGAGGATTCAACAAAAACAAATTACTGAAGTATTACTTCAATATTTAACAAATTAAATGGTTTTATTTGCAAATTGCTCAGTTACATTTGCGCCGTAGGCAAAAGTTGCGTTTGGAAATTCTGCCCTTACAGCACCTGTTAGCAGAAACATACTAGATGTTTCTCTCATTTTCTTTGACAATACTTAAGACACTTTTAAGGGGCGAAGGAACAAACAAATATCAATGTGATATTGTCTCTTGTAGCATAGTCTTAGGTGAGAACTCATACAGCAGCCTTAATGATATGACAACATACAATACAAACAATCCCCACAGACATACATTAAAATGGCCTTCATACAGCTACAGGATCATAAGAGGAGTTGCTTCATTCATCCCTTACCGAGACTTATTGTTGGGCTGCCTCTTTCAAAGGTTTCATCCAGTTGGTTTTATATGTGTGTGTGTGTGTGTGTGTGTGTGTGGGTGTGTCATATTTAAAGTTTTTTTTTTTTGTGCTCAGAGAACACCATTATGAAAATCACTTTTTTAAAACATGTTAAAAAAAAAAATTTTTTAAACGTTTTACTTTTTTTTTTTAAACATGTAAATGGAATTAATAACCTAGTCAGTGTACTTTCTTAAGGATGAATAAATATATTTCATCCTTCCCCAAATGCATTTGTAAAAAGTAATAGTATTTTACTAATTAATTTGTAGTGCACTAAGTTTGTGCTTGATGAAAGCATGAAATAGCTACATTTAGAGTTTATTTTCAGTTAGTATAGACGTCAATCTATTTTAGTATACTTATCATGAAATAAATATATTTTAAGTCTATTTATTTTTCACTAGGGACTACATGCTACTTTGTTTTATTGTGTTAATTCTGGATGATGACTTTGGGGTGACAACATTTTTTTTTTGTTTTCTCTCTCTCTCTCTCTGTGTGTGTGTGTGTGTGTGTGTGTGTGTGTGTTAATGTGTTAATTCACAGACCATGCGCTGTCAAAGTTCCCTGACTTCACGATGCAAGATGTGAGATGCATCATAAGGAAAAAATGCAACAACGAAAGCTACATCAAGCAAGCTACTGCAAAGAAACCCATATGAATAGAACTTGTCATATATTTGAACAATTATTGGATTTCCTTTTTTTTTGTGTTTTCTCCAGGGACTGATTTCTTGCATAACCCTACCTTAAACATTGTGTTTACAGCTTTTTGAACTGGGGTGTAAATTTGACTGTCATTGTTATTTTATGTTTATGTGGAATCCAGTACAAAAGATTTGTTTGAAATAAAGAAAATTTATGTTCGTAATTCTGAGTACGTGATTTTTTTGTGTAGTCCACTGACAGCATCCACAAGATTTAACTTCAAATTCAAAGTACAATTAAAAGGTCAAGTATAAAAATTAATAGGTACATAGGAACATTGTAGTGTACTTAAAGTGCAAAAAAATATAAATAATTAGTACTACTAGTTAACTAAGTGTACACTAACTGGACACTTGCAACTACACTTGCAGTATAAGATTGGTAACCTACTAGTTTACTAAGAGAACACTAACAGACATACACTTGCAGTATAAGACTAGTAAACTAAGAGTGCACTAACAGAACACTTGTAAGTACACTTGCAGTATAAGACTAGTAAACTACTAGTAAACTAAGAGTACACTAACAGAACACTTGTAAGTACACTTGCAGTATAAGACTAGTAAACTACTAGTAAACTAAGAAGGTGGCGGTAAGTCACTTAATGAGTGAGTCTAGTGACTCATTCATTTAACTGTTCGCGGAATCATTCAGTAACAAAACACTGCTGCGTGTTGCTTGGAGATTGCACTATACTTCTGCTGTGATCTTTTTTTGGAACTATTTTAGTTGGTGAAACAGTACAAAACAGTCAATACCGTGTCTAAAATGTAAGTAACCTAATTATGTGACTACTCAACTACTTGTTTATTGAACTAAAATCAATGTAACATTTGCAATCGTGAGAATATTCGGCAATTAGCTCCCTTGCCATGGTATGTTGCTTAACAACATCATGTTATAAATGAAAAAAACTTAACATTTTGAATTTTTACCTTAGTAGTTTCTTCTGTGAGTTTCTTTGTGTCACGTTCAGCTCTTTTGCTCATTTGATTTGATTTCTCCATACATACTGTGTCTAAAATGTAAGTAACCCAATTACGTGACTACGTGACTACTCAACTACTTGTTTATTGAACTAAAATCAATGTAACATTTGCAATCGTGAGAGTATTCGGCAATTAGCTCCCTTGCCATGGTATGTTGCTTAACTACATGTTAGAAATAAAAAACTTAACATTTTGAATTTTTACCTCAGTAGTTTCTTCTGTGAGTTTCTTTGTGTCCCGTTCAGCTCTTTTGCTCATTTCATACACTCATTTGATTTGATTTCTTCATAAAAGTCTTACAAAGAAACAGGCAGCACGAGCCTAAATAGCGCGACCTTTATACCAAAAAATACACTGTCCATTATCAATCGCTGTTTACGTTGAATGTAATAAAATCAGAAGAATCATTCTTGCGCTTCGATGCTTCACTGGTTATTTTTTGCCACTTAAGTTTTAATCAAAGACTTTTGAAGGCCTTTTATTAGGAAAACTTTATTTAATACTTCTTAAGAACATTTTCCACCCTGTTAATGTGGGGACACATTTCAAGTGAGAGCAAGGTTACATTGTGTTACCTTGTAAGATACATTGTTACAGTTTTCATCTCTGGCAAGCCATTCTTTGTAATCATCTTTGGTGAGCCGAATATCTTGAAACTTGCATTTTCCAGGCATCACGTTTCAGCGGTTTCAGCCTATTTTTTGCAATGTTTAACGGTGTGTGTGTGTGTGTGAGAAACGTTGAGGTACCATCGTAGTAGTTTCGTGCACGCGTGAACATCATCGCAACGTACAACACAAAGTACCTCATACGGGAAACACTTAACGTAACCCGTAAATGCACGTTACTAAGGTAAATCAAGCAAGCTTATATGCATAGGCCACGAAGTGTTGGCGAAATAACACATTAGCGAACCGGAGGGAATAATACGGATTTTTTTTCCAGAAAACTTCTTGCACAAAATAAATTATTAGTTATTATATGTAATTTATTGGCATATATAACAGTTATCTTTATAAATTATAAAACAATATTATGACAAGGTAATGTTTAATTTATTATATTATATATATATTTTTTACATTTTATATTATCATCTCACACATGGATCAGCATTTTCTATAATGTATTTCGTGGATGTTTAGAATTTGAAAAGCGCAATCGGCTCGTGACTCGTATGAAATCGTGACTCGTAATGCGTGACCGCATTAGAGATAAGTTGAGACGGGAAAAACTAGACATCGTGTTGGTTTCATACGGATTACTTTATCAGAAAATACTTGTTTTGGAAGTAGACATTTCAAGCTTTCTATACATATATTTCTTATGTCTTTGAGGCAAGTATTCGCTGAGATTCTGATTGTTTTATTAACGTGTCTGTGAAGAGAGGTGTCAGAGACCGAGACGGCAGAGAGTGCACCCTGTTTATTTTCTTTATTTTACAAAAGCACATTGTTTTGTTATTATGACTATACACAAATAAAAATATACCCTTTGCAAACGATACTTTATTATTATCTGTACAATAAAAAATGACAAGAGTATTTTTAGTTCTTTTCGTGGTCATCAAGAAAATATGAGACAGACCGCACCAGTGAGGGCTTCGACCCCAGAGGGTTAAAGAAGAGTCCTTCTGTATGGGAATTATGAGCCTTTTCTATGGGGAAATGTAGTGAGAGTTGCTCTGCCCACATTCCTTTGAGCAATAAAACCAGTGTTATCAGATGATTTGTCATTGGTTGCCATGGAACCAGAGGCCTGTTCTGCCTTTTTGAGGTGTTAGTTACATTTCGTAGGAAGGGTCCGTAGACCCTCATAGTTGGCTTGTTGGTTGGGTGAGGGGTGTTAGGGATTATTTGTTAAATATAACAAATTATTGTGTCTGATTAGTTCAAACGCTACAGGAGGAAAATCAAATTCTGCTGTAAAGCAGGTCTAAAAGACAAGATTGTCATTATTCAGCTCAAGTCAGTTCAGATCAATAACTGTTCATCAGTTTGAACTGAATTCAGCTGTAAATAGTTCTACAAAAGATAACAAATGTAGTTATTCAATTAGAATCAGTTCAGTGTTGACTGAATTCAGTTAGGTACCAATGTCAATGTTTCAAGATGCGATGTAAAGCAGCTCTACGGAAGATGGTATGCATCATCTAACTTATGTGAAACTCAAGATTTGCTTTGTTTCTGAAAGTCTTTCCACAGTGATGGCACATGACAGGCTTCTCTCCGATGTCCCTGCATGATTCCTAGGCTTTTCTTGTCTGTACAACTCATTCCACACTAATGACATTTAAACAGGTCCCTCTTGAGTAAATCTTCATATGGTACTTTTGGTTGCAACTTCTCTCCAGTGTGAATTTTCATATGGACTTCAAGTATGATTTTTGACTGAAACTCTTTCCACACTGAGGGCACATCTAAGGCTTCTCTCCAGTGTGAGTTCTCATGTTCTTGTTAAGACTTCCTTTATATGAGTGAGACTCTTTCCACACTGTTGGCAGGTAAAAAAAAAAAAAAAAAATCTCTCCATAGTGTGAATTCGCCTGAGGGCGTAAAGGTTTTATTTCTTTCCAGTAGGTTTCTTTTCAGTGTGAACTCTCATGTGGTAATTAAGGTTTCCTTGTTGACTGAAACTCTTTCCACACCATTGGCAGGTGAAGGGCTTCTCTCCAGTGTGAACTCTCATATGGTAATTAAGGTTTCCAGGTTGACTGAAAGTCTTTCCACACGGTTTGCAGGTGAAAGGCTTCTCTCCACTGTGAATTCTCATATGAGCTTCAAGATGTACACGTTGACTGAAATTCTTTCCACACTGTGTGCAGGTGAAAGGCTTCTCTCCAGTATGAAGTCTCATGTGGACTTCAAGAGTTTTATGTCTACTGAAACTTTTTCCACAACATTGGCAGGTGAAAGGCTTCTCTCCAGTGTGAACTCTCATGTGGACTTTAAGGTTTCCAGGTTGTCTGAAACTCTGTCCACACTGAGGGCAGGTGTAAGGCTTCTCTCTACTGTGAACTCTAATGTGCTTGTTAAGGCTTCCTTTATGAGTGAAACTCTTTCCACACTGTTGGCAGGGGAAAAGGCTCTCCATAGTGTGAATTCGCCTGTGAACATCAAGGTTTTGATTTTGATTGGAACTCTTTCCACACTGAGGGGATCTGTAAGGCTTCTCTCCACTGTGAACTCTCATGTGCTTGGTAAGGCTTCCTTTATTAGTGAAACTGCTTCCACACTGTTGGCAGGGGAAAAGGCTCTCCATAGTGTGAATACTCCTGTGGACATCAAGGTTTCCATTATGATTGGAACTCTTTCCACACTGAGGGGATCTGTTAGGCTTCTCTCGATTGTGAATTTCCATGTGCCTGTCAAGGTTTCCTTGTTGATTGAAACTTTTTCCACACTGTTTGCAGGTGAAAGGCTTCTCTCCTGTGTGAGTTCTCATGTGCCTGTTAAGTCTTTCTTTACGAGTGAAACTCTTTCCACACTGTTGGCAGGTAAAAAGGCTCTCCATAGTGTGAATTCGCCTGTGGACATCAAGGTTTCCACTTTGATTGGAACTCTTTCCACACTGAGGAGATCTGTTAGGCTTCTCTCCAGTGTGAATTCTCTTGTGCCTGTTTAGGTTTCCTTGTTGACTGAAACTCTTTCCACACTGAAAGCAAGTGAAATAACTCTTAGTTCCTGTCTTTTGAGCTCTTTTTTGTGTGGAAGTCTTTTCAGACTGTAAGGAACAAAAATACTTTTCTCCGGTTATGAAATCATGAAGCTTCTCATACTGATCTTTCTCTTCAGTTTTACTTTTCTCGAAATCATGAAGCTTCTCATACTGATCTTTCTCTTCAGTTTCATTCAGTACTTCCCTTTCCTCTTTCAATGCCATTAGGTCTAAGGTGGAAAACAAACAAACAAAAAAAGTTAACCCCAGTTTAATGGCACAAAGCAATCAATATCAAAACATGTATATGTAATGCATATATGCTAGATCCTACACCAGTGTGTCCAAACCTGATCCTGGTAAGCCGCTGTCCTACAGAGTTTAGCACCAACTTGCCCCAATAAATCTGCTAGAAGTTTCTGAAGTTTTCAAAAGCCATTGATTAGCTTTAATTGGGGTTAGAGCTAAACTCTGTAGGCCAATCAGGGCTCCAGACTCATTCTTCCCACTGGTCGCTCTTTGCGACTAACTTTCTCAGTTGGTAGCAAGAGCACATGATTTGGTCGCAATTTTTTTTATTGCGCTGCAACATGGGATTAATCAATGCATGCTGATGAACTTTTATCATAGTTTATAGTTATGGAAACGAAGGTTAACATTGAACCCGTTCTTTTTTATCAGTAGTATTATTTATGATTTGAATTTTGTGAATGGGAGTTCCTCTTTTGCTGTGATATAAGCTGGGCTTCGGGTGCTTTCACTTTTGAATTCACGATCTTGTTGTCACATTTTACAAGAAATGATAATTGTCTGTTTTGCTTACATACATCAACACACCTTTCACTTTTTAAGACTAAAACAAAAGATGGATTCATTGTTATTCTTAATTAAAAAGCACAACAACAATAAAACAGTAGGATACAATGACAAACTAGCTTACAAAACGTTTATTAACAAAAACGACTAAGACGAGGCATGGCATACACCACATGCTGTATTAAATACTGACTAATAAATTACAGAACGTTTAGCAAACACTGAGGAATCAAAAAAAAGACAGCCTCCATAGCGTAACGTGAGGTAAACAGCAAAGATAAAAAACTTTTCAAAATGAAAACAAAAAGAAAAACTAAGCTTGCTGTCGGTGACTGTGCTTGCATGGGTTTTTTTTTTTCACACAAGAATACCAACATGTTCGCCTTCTCTGGTTTAAGAAGCGGTCTTTTACTTTATGTAGCTCTTAATTTGTTTGAGAACTCAGAAAGACCATTCCATTAATAGGCGCGGCGTACCACTTCGGGAGTTATTTCTCTAATAATTTTAACGGACAGGAGTCACAACCACACATCAAGACATTGTTCAGATGATTTGTTTTTAAGACATTTGACATGTTTCCGTCCTGACAATACTAAGCGCGCCGCTTTCTCCTTTTTTCCAAAGCGTTTGGGTGCTTGCGCTCCGGAGGCGTCTGCCGTTGCTAAGCAACCATGACCTGTGCTCTCAATGAAGACGCAAACATTTCAGCAAAGGATAAATGGATTTCCAGCACTAAAAATCGCTTGCAGTAGCTCTGCTATTAAATTTATTTAAAAATGGCCATCCCTGTAAAGATATGATCAGCTGTTCCTTCATCTTGGCTGAGCTTTCAATGTTGTTACAGGAAAGGATGAAGCTGATTGGTTGGTTCTCGTCACATGACCTGCGGTGCGCTTGTGGCATTCTGAAAAGTTGAAATGTTTTTATCTCGATGCGGCCTTTTTATCCATCTTTTGCGAAGAATGGAGCTGCGTTGGAGTGTTTGATAGTATTTTGGGTGCTGTCATCATATCGCTACACCATACAATTTGCAGAAAGAGAAAGCTGAAAAGGTTTTGAGGTTAATGTGTTACAAATAAATCAAGCATAAAACTTGAGATATTATTTTAACCTGGTGAAATGTAAATGACACAGGGCGCAAAACTATATTAGTTTCTTTTTTTTTAAATCCATCTAATTGGACCATAGAACGGGACTCTCAAAGCCTTGACATCCGGGTATCCGGGAGACAAGTCAGTAAATTCGAGTAAAATAGGCTTCGCTTATCCCATGCGAATGCACCACACGAAATTCAGATGTGGGGGGGTAATTTCAAAATCACAAGGTCCCCAGATAATGCTAATCCCATGTGAATAGAGCTAAAGTGTTCCTTCTTTTGTTGCACTCTGCAGCCAATCTGTATGACTGTTGGCTATTTCTTGTAGGGCTGCTCGATTATGGCAAAAATCATAATCACGATTATTTTGGTTAATACTGTAATCAGGATTATTTAACACAATATTAGTGGGCCATATGACCAATCATATGACTTTATATGAGTGATTAATTTTAAGATAGAAATATATCAAATATATATTTTCTGTAAATAAGGCTGCTATGACCAGGGTTTCTGCAAGATTTTTAGTAAAAACAGCAGTGGTGGGCCGTCAGGGCCAGCAAAGCCTTCTCTGCTGGCCTAAACAGTAAAACCTTCTCTGCTGGCCTAAAACCGTTGCTTTAACCAATCAGATTTCGAGTTGGCAGCACCAGGTCCATCTAGCTGGCTAACGATAACGTCAGCATTTTCTCGTCCCTTGATTGGATGGTCAGCATACTAGCTAGCAAACAGCATCACTGTAAATCATTTTATTAAAACTTAGTAAAATTTGTATTACTGTTTCTCAGGTTTAGATTTTCAGTCCATTTTGAAAAAATATTTGCCTACTATATTTAGTAAATCTAAAAACAGTAGTCCTAATGACTGCAAAAAACAACCACACACCTCCTTGGCACCGGCTCTGTGAAAGACTCCTGAAGATGAAAAACCACTAGAGTATGGTAGGTTAATTTTCATTTTTGACTCTTTTATCGCTTGATGCATTGTATGCTGATGTTATTTGCGCGATATAAAGCCAGGTTTAAGTTTCCGTAAGAATATCTCAGTTTCCCGAGTGGAGCTGTATTAACCGGTCTTGTACGTTAAAACACATCTATACACTTTTCTTCATCGTCTTGTATGAATTATTTTAATGTTACTTGCTCACTTTCCTAGTAAAGCTTTGCTAACCAGTATTTTCCTCCCGCAGTCCGCTGGCAGACCGGCGGGGAGACTCGTGAAGATGAAATAAAGCAGTAAGAGAACATTAAATTGTTAGGTCAACTTTAAAACACATGTAATCACCTTATTTGTTTTATACCAATGCTATCAGTAAGGTATAAATGCGTTTGGGTGAATACATGTCTGTAAGAACATCAGATGGACTGTATTTGTGTCATTTTGTTAGGTTAATGCTTCAGCTACAGCTGATGTGTTGCGCAATTGTTAATTGGGTTTCTTTCTTAGTAATGGCATTCATTCTCGCTACATAAGATACCTGTCTGTTATGTTACTGTGTAATATTTATGGTTTCTATAGCCGTGGCATCATGATGGTATGAAGAGATGGATTAATTCATGTAAGATGCCACTGAAGGCCTAGGTGTAAAATGCATGGCCCGCCACTGAGTTTTAATGCAGCTTCAAAGAGCTCTACACGATCCCAGCCGATGGGAATAAGGGTCTTATCTAGCGAAACCATCGTCTATTTTTATAAATAAAATAAAAATGATATACATTCATGTAGGACACCACTGAAGGCCTAGGTGTAAAATGCCACTGAAAAACAGTAACACCATCTCCTAACTGCACACGATGCCGCGACACACGATAAAAGTTATCTTTTCCATGTTAATTAAGTTTTTGTCCTAACCAGACGTGATGCCGACACACAAAGTTTCTATTTTAGAAACGGTTTCTACATTATTTCTGCGACGTCGTGGCTGGAAACTATAGCCTAACAATAGGCGCGTTTCCATTACCCTTCAAATTGCAAAAACTGAAATTGCGAATTGAATATACGCCTAATGGAAACGCGTCAATTTCGCAAAAACGCCCATATATCGCAAAAAAGTTTACGCTCGCATGAGGTGGTTTTTCAGGCAATGCGAAAAAGGAATAATTCGCAAAACTGCAATGGAAACGTTTTTTTTCTCGCATTTACAGGTCACATGGCGTATGTAAAAAGTCATATGATCATTCTTCAATGTACTGTAACCTCCAAGAAACACTTCATAAGTGGCCGCACTCCAGTATAAGGGGCTTTCCCTGCCATTAATGCTTAGACAATTTACACTGCACACGTCTGCGGTGCAGTGTGGCTCTGATACGGCCACTGAAGCTGAAACCGGCCACTAGCAATGCTTGTGATTATTCCAGCCGCGCCACACACGTTTCTGAAGCGGCTCTCTGTGCTGCTTCTGTAAAGATACACGTATACGCCTCCTTTGAATAAATATAGCCACAATCCGTTAAAATCCCACCAAAATCCGTTGCCATGACTTATCGCGAGAGGAAAAAATAACGTTTTAGTCGCATAACATCGGTTAATGGAAACGCCGTCATTTCGCAATACTTTTTTATCGACATTTATAAAATATCACCAAAGTTTTGCGCAAAACTGTAATGGAAACGCGCCTAATGATAATCTCAGGTACTGATTATGTGCTTCATTCAATGTTAACAGTGTCTAATGTGAGTTTGAATATCATTTTGCGTGACATTTATAGCCGTACTGAAAACAACGACAGATAGTTTACCTCAGATCTTAAAAATAAAGCAAACATGTATGTTAAAACAGTGAACTCAATGCGAACCAACAAGTGTATTCCATAATAAATATAGTATCAGTCACTCAGTATGTACACTTAATAATGTTAAAAATGTTTCATATTTATAAATTAGATTTTAAACTTGTCCATTTCGTTTGGAGTGCAGTGAGTTTCTGCGCTTCTGAATGGCTGTGATATTTGGCTGATTCTGTCGCGTCGCGTTGTTGCGTCACGTCTGGTGTGGACACCCACATTGCTTGTCGCTGGAATCTTGTTGTGTCTGGTTAGGACACAGTGTGGAGAGTGGAGGCAACAAAATAACAGGACATAAATAGCGGGTTCATTTGAAAATGTTGTAGTGGGCTGCGGAAACATATGTGTTTGGTTGTGAGTTAAAAAAGGCTGGGAACAACTGTTCTAGAGGTAACTTAGCTATAGAAGATAAAAAAGTCC